TCTTTTTATTCCTTCCTGGTCTTGAATTATGTTATTTTTATTGTCGAGCGTCCCAGATCTTGGTTTGAACTTTCCCTTGATTTCTTGAATCTCATGGAATAGGTCTCTCGTTCTTCCCTTTTTGTCGTTGTCTTTTATTTCTTTACATTTGTAATTGTAGCAATTTTCCTTATCTTTGCACACTAGCCGTTGTACTGTTGCATTCATGTTTCTTAGTTCATTCCCATCTCCTTTTTGGTTTGTTTATCTTCTTTCAATTATTGCTTGTAGCATTTATCTGTCATCCATAGTTTCTTCACTTTCCTTTTGTCCTTTTGTTCATTTTTCCTTTTGTTCACTTCCTTTTCCTTTTGTTCACATTCCTTTTTGGATAAGATATAATTATTTTAATTAATATTTTTTTAAAAAAACTCTGAAATGTGATTATGGAATTTAATGATTTAATGTCACTTAACTCTCATAGAATCATAGAATCGTACAGTTGAACAGGGCTATCATTTCACCTCTTAACCTTCTCTTCCCCAGGCTAAACATACCAAGCTCCCTAAGCCACTTCTCATAGGGCATGGTTTCCACACCATTCATCATTTTAGTCACCCTCCTCTGGACACACTTCAGCTTGTCAATATCCTTTTTGAATTGTGGCGCCCAGAACTGAATGCAGTATTTCAGGTGAGGCCTGACCAAAGAAGAATAGAGTGGTACTATTTCATCCCTTGATCTAGGTAGGCACTATACTTCTGTTTTGATGCAGCCTAGAATCACATTGGCTGTTTTAGCTGCTGCATCACACTGTTGACTCATGTTCAACTAGTTGTCTACTAGGACACCTTTCACATGTACTGTTGTACCTACTCTTCAAGGCATTGTGTTCCACTGTTGAAAAGCTTTTACTGCCAGGAAGTTCTTTCCAATGTTTAGGTGGAATCTCTTCTTCTGAATCCATTCCTCTAAGTCCTAGAAAACAAACTTGCTCTATCCTCATTATGACAGCCCTTCAAATATTTAAACATGGCTATCATGTCACACCTTAAACTTTTCTTCACAAGGCTAAACATGCCCAGTGTCAGTGGCTTTTCAAGGGGGTGGGGTGTGTGTGCAGACCTCACTAAGTGACACCCCTAGAAGAGGTGTGACACCTGGTTGGACCCTCCTCACATTGCACCCCTCTCACTTTGCTGTGATGGTGGAGACTTCCTCACGAGAAGACCTTCGCCGCCACCGCAAAGGAGTGTCCCCTGCACTGGATTACACCAGGGTTGGGGATGCCACTGCCCAGTGAGTAAGCAATGGGAGGACAGAGGGGTGTGTGCATGCCACATGCTCAACATGTTCCTCTTATAATATCGGAACCATTGGCAATAATCTTTGAGAATTCCTGGAAAACAGGAGAAGTCCCAGTGGATTGGAGGAGGGCAAATGTTGTCCCCATCTACAAAAAGGGGAAAAAAGAGGATCCCAACAATTATTGTCCAGTTAGTCTGACATCAAGACCGGAAAATAATAATAATAATAATAATAATAATAATAATAATAATAAAATTTATTTATACCCCGCCCTCTGAAATATCAATCTGGGCGGCTTACAGTTAAAAGTGTATACATCCATAAAACATATAATTACAATAACCTCCCACCCCCCCTTAAGAC